CCGGCGGCGAGGGGAGCGGGGAGCGTTTTCGGGAGCTGCCGGGCGAAGTTAACCGCTTGTCTGCCCCTCCCGTTCTAGGGTGGGCCGGTGGAAATCCTGCCGTTCCTCTACTTGGGCAGCGCGTACCATGCCTCCCGAAAAGACATGCTGGATGCGTTGGGGATCACCGCGTTAATCAACGTCTCCGCGAACTGCCCCAACCACTTTGAAGGGCACTACCAGTATAAAAGTATCCCCGTGGAGGACAACCACAAGGCAGATATCAGCTCCTGGTTTAACGAGGCGATTGATTTCATAGGTAAATGACCTCCCTTTGCAGTCTGTTCTTTTTCTGGGATAACGTACCATGGGAAGTGATTTTTGGGCACTATCTTCCCTAGTAAAGCCTACGTTTCAGATGAGGGAATTTAATTCTGCATAGGAGAGGTACTTGGGCAACCCTTATGCTAATTTTATTCTACTCAGAGGAATAATCTGTGCTTCAAAAAACTGTTTGAAATCTTGAATCAAGAGGCACTGGTCATGCAGAAAAGAGCTAGTGAATTTAAGCGGATCAGTATTAAAGTAATCTTGCAAGACTGCTAAAGTGACCTGGAGGAGCTATTAGTATAATTGGAATTGGAGCCCAGAATGAAAATAGCTAGACTGCTGGTTCCCTCAGGACAAAGGCTCTCTTTGTCTCAAAAGCACCATGTGCACCTATTAGGCTAGGGAAGGGACGGATTAAAGAAATGTAAAACAGTAGTCTGTGCTTTCCCACCTCGGGAAGCAGTGAGACTTGTTTGCTAACTGTATTTTAATTCTTCCAGACTCGGTTAAAAATGATGGAGGAAGGGTGTTTGTGCACTGCCAGGCTGGCATTTCCCGGTCAGCCACCATCTGCCTTGCTTACCTCATGAGGACCAACAGAGTCAAACTGGATGAAGCCTTTGAGTTTGTGAAGCAGAGAAGAAGCATCATCTCCCCAAACTTCAGCTTCATGGGGCAGCTTCTTCAGTTTGAGTCGCAAGTCCTTGCCCCCAACTGCTCAGCAGAGGCTGGTAGCCCTGCTATGTCAGTATTGGACAGAGGAGCATCCACCACCACCGTTTTTAACTTCCCAGTCTCCATCCCCGTTCACACCTCGTCCAGTGCTTTAAGCTACCTTCAGAGCCCCATCACCACTTCCCCGAGCTGCTGAAAAGCAGGTGAAGATAACCTAACTCAGAATTGCTGTCTCAGAAGTGCAATAACTACAGGGACAGTGTCATCAGTCACTCTTGTTTTGTGGGGGACCATCCATGCATCCCAGAACAGTGTCGTGGATGGAGAGGAGCTCACCCAGCACACTAGGTGTTACTGACTTTTCTACTGACTTTGAAAGCTGATACCTGGATGTATACACGGATCAAAGGACACTGTCTCTTCTTGAGCTGTTCCTCCTTTTCTGTCTGTCCTAAGCCTGCTCCATGTTTAGTAGCATGCTCACCAGTATTCCCATTCCTGGACACTTTGAGCAACACTGATGCTGTCCCCTTTTACAACAGTCCTGTTTATTTATTTTTGTTATTACATTGGGGTTTTTTTGCCTTCACAAACGTAAAGTTTCATTTCTAGAGAAACAAAATACCTCAGTATTTTTGGTACTGTAATCCTGTGTGTATATATACCTGTCAGCTCTTTCTTGTTTCCCAAGCACTGACGTGAAAGCACCAGGCTAGTGCTTTTTTGAGTTGCCAAGGGTTGTATGTTTGCTGATTTATTTATGATGTCAAATAATATATTTCTTCTTATGAAGACATAGTTTTGTTATATGATTACTTTTTTATACAAATGGAATAAATTATGATATTTCTATTGAGCTGGATGATACATTCTTTAAAATGTTGCATTTTACGGTCCCAGAACTCATGTGGAAGCTCTTGAGTGAAGAGAAGTGAGAGAATCTATTCTCTGTAAGAGAAACCTGAGTTTTCAACTCTGCTGACCTCTGGTCTTGGCTGAAAGAGTTAGAAAAATGGGTTTAAACATAGTTGACTAGAAACTATTGCTGCTTCTTAACCTGAGCTTTTCTTTGTTCCCATAGTTGTGTGCAGTGGCAGGGAGCCCAGGCTGGCTTCTCAGCTGGAAGGTGGCTTTTGCTGCAGTGATGGCCACAGAACTGTAGCAGTGTGAACCAACTGAGACCTGGGCACAGGGCTACAGTGAATTTCAAATAGTCCTTCTCCTAGGGAGGAGGAAGAAGCTTCCTTATTGCTTGTTTACTTGTAATGCTTCAAAGGTTAAGTCTGAAAATTACCCTTTTGGGAACAAATCTCCAGTGATTGTGGGTTTTTGTCAAGGTGTTTTCTTTTTGCCCCACCTCCTTGATCCCTTTTGCAACTTGGGCTGCTTCTGATTCCTGGAGTGAAGTATTTGGCTTGCTGGGCTATCCTTATAAGCAAATCAGGGCATAACAAGAGATTGGGTAAACAATAAGTCACTGATTTTCTTACCTAGACCCAAATAAATTCTTTCCTGCTGCAGCCTCTCACTAGAGTGACTTCTATCTGGCATTTCAGTTGAGGCAACAAAAGGAATTTTATGTAGTTTTATGTATGAGAAGAGGCATGAGACCTCTCACAGACCAGCACTCCTGGCAGCTCCTGTGGGGTGGGGGTCACAGGCAGCGAATGATGCAGGGTTATTGTGTGGTGAGACAGACCTGCACACCTCCATGGAGTGTGGGGGGAGCAGCACTGGTGTGACATACCCTTACCAGAGGAAGCTGATATGGAGGAGCTGCAGCTGGGAGCCTGCTTTCCGAGGCAGGGTAGTAATACTGGTGACAAGGAGATGGGTGCTGGGGGAGCACTAGAATACCCAGGGTCCTACATCCACTCCAGAATGAAGCCACCTGTCCTTGTGACTGATATTCCAGTAGTCATAGCCTTCTTTTGACCTGTCAAAAATGGTTTATCTTAAATAGATACAGCAGATTATGACTGTATAAAATCAAGGCATTTTAACAGTTCTGATTCTGACCTTAGAGATGAGGGATTTTTAAGGCTAAAGCAGCTGTGCTCTTGTCACTTAGCTGTGGAGATGAGCAAAACACCACAAACTGCTGCTGAATTTCTGCAAGTTACCTGGAGTATTACTGGTGATAAAATCGAGGAGTCTTATTCTGGGAGAAGGTGCCCTTGAAGGAGGGGATGATGCAGTGCTGTGTCTGAAATTCTTCCACGTGTGCTGCCCCTCTGATGCAGCTCTGTCGTCAGTGCTACACGTCAGCTATTGCCAAGCTCCGACCTGACACCAAGGGATAAAAAGAAAAAAAAAAAAAAAAAGAATAAAGGAGCAGTTAAAAGGAGGAGAGATTTTCTGGGCACTAAGAAACAAAGTTAGAAACCCTTATTTTCCTAAAGCGTGCATGAACCTCAAAGAGAATATTCCTCCACAAAGTCTGTCCCATGTTGCAAATCCTGCAAAACCCCTCCATCCGTGGAAAGTCTCTTGTCAGGTTGTGCTGCTCTGTGGGATCGCACCTACCCCTGCCCTCCCTGTAAAGCATGCAAAGCTCTTTCTGTGTGCGTGAGCGTTTTGACACCTGCATTAAACAGCGGAACAAACTTTTACCTTCAAAGCAAAGCAGAGCTTGTTCAGTGGAAAAATACAACCTTGGCAACCCTGCCCATGCAACTGATAAAAAAAAATCCTGCCTGTTAATCTCAATTCAAACAGAAATCCGCTCCCCGTCAGCCGGGGGAGCTTGTTTATGTGTTTCTTGGAACAATAAAACTCATTACCTGGCAGCTGATCAGCTTTTATAACCTAAGCAGGCACCTGACAGAGGGGTGCAAAAGAGAGCTGCTTCAGCACAAAGCCTGTTGAGGAAAAGCCAGCCAGCGGCAGCAGGGCTCCGGTCCCAGCGAGGCACCGCCACGCACTCCCAACTCTGGGCACATCCGATGGCCTTTCCCAGGCCTTTATTACCATCCTTCTGCTGTCGGCTATAATCAGGCTCACAGTGCCCAGAGCCCACAGACTCCTGCAGACTCCCTGTGGACAGGATCGCACCCAGATCCCACGCTGCTTCTGGCCCAAACAAGGGGAGGATGAAGGGGCAAGAACAACAGCGAAAAGAGAGATCAGTCACCTCAGTGCCACAGCTTTTGGGAGACGGATGGGCTCAGCTGGAGGGTTTGCGGGGAGCAGGGAAGGAAGGAGTGGGGCAACTGGCAAGGGGGGGTGCAGAGGAGGAGGTGTGAGCTGGGTGAGGAGGCACCAGGGGCTGAGGTGGGTGCTGACAAGAGCCAGAGGACACCTTGATGACATAGCTGAGCTGAACTTTGCCTGCTGTGGATGTGTTAGGGAGTAATTTTCCCTTCTTGACCCTCATTTATTCTCTCTGCTTTGCTGTTTTCTTTGCTTGGGATACCAAGGCACAGAGTTTACCCTGGCTTACAGCTTTGAACTCCCATTTTCCCCAGCTCCCGGGGCTCCGCTGAGACCCTACCCCTCGTCTCTGATCCAAGACCCCTACAAACCCGACACTGAGCAGTCGTGTGTAGGGCTTTCGGCTTATATAAACCTTTAGTTCTACAGTTGCATGCGTTCCCATGGAAACCACGAGGAGTTTCCCCTTGGTGAGGACAACAGTAACATCACTTCCTGGTGCTGACAAACCAATTTGTCACGAAGTGATAAAAAGGCATGTTTTGTGTTTGCAGGAACTGGCTCCGGGCTTTGTTCCTCCCAAGCCAGAGGCTGCTCACCCTCCCCAAAGGCAAACAATGGCTATTGTGTGCACAGAGCAGGGACAGGGAGGCACAGACAAGTCCTTCGGGCCCCCAAAATGCCAGGGCATGGACAACCGGCACCCCAAAGTTACAAAGTGTATAGGCAAAACGCAAGTGACAGCAGTGTGTAACCCAACACAACATGTGGGGCTCCACACAGCACCCGCAGAGAGGTCACCACAACCAAGGGGCGTACGTGGCCAGCACAGAAGGGCACACACCACGAGGCAGGCGTAATATCCCCGTCAAGATGTGATACCCAGAGGATACAGTATACCCAGTTATCACATGATGAACAGACAGAGCTGCAGATTAGATGTGTCTTGGGTAATCCCCTTGTCTCAAAGCTCTTGCCTTTCTTTTGTAATCAGTGCGTTGAAAGGTGCTGGCTGTACTCCTGCTTAGGGACTATCCTGCATTAGTCACCCCCAGTATCAGACTAGCAGGGCCACAAGGATGTGTGGCCATTACGTGGAAAAAAAAAGTACATTACATCCAGATCATACACAGACAGATCTAGTTTGCCCAGTTACCACCTGGGTTTTTTCCTCTGTCTGGCTCCAGGGCAGCAGAAAGGGCACTGAGAGTCATTTAGAAAGGGTGTTTAAGTGCAGCCCAAGAGAGGCCGTTCCCCAGCTCTGTAGACAAGTCACAGCATGATGGTGAAGGAGAAAAGCTTGTGATGTGTGACTGTCTAGAGTAGTTAGAAGTCACCATGCCTCAAACATCACCTAAACCTGTTTCTTGTCCTTGCCCTTGTCTAGCAATGATATCCATGACAGACAGCTACATTCAGTGTAGCCAATGAGACACCACCCAAGGCTTTGGCTTCCCCAAATGTGCTTTGATCCAAAGCTGCAGGGAGGCTGGGAAAACAGCTAAACCCCAGGCTCAAACCCACTCATGCTGAAAGAACAAATGAGCCCTGAGATTTGTGCTGGGTGTTGCGTTCCTACTACAGGCTATTTACTATGGTACACAGCCAATAGCCACAGCTGATGGGGAGCTGGCAGCCCAACCCAGAGGCATGGCCAAGGTGCCTGGTCAGGTGGGTCCTGTTAGGACCCATCAAGGGCATAAAAGCTGAAGTGGGACCAAGATATTAAAGGAGGGAAAGCAGCTCTGAAGGCAGAGACCTTGGGGAGAAGTAGGACCTGCTGGATTAATTGGTATTGATGTGAGGGCTTCAGTTGGTCCTGCTGGGGACCTGGCTTGAGGTCTGGCTCATGTCTGTCTTGTTTTTGCCCAGGCAGTGGCTGTGTAATGCTGAGGGCACCCTCCAAGGGATGAACTGAGGTACCTGAGGGGAAGCAGCTGAGTTGCTCTGTTGCTGGATTGGGTAAAGGGCCCCTGGTTTTGAGAGTTATTTCCCATTTGGAATTGCAGTTGTACAATTCTGTGTCTGTCTGGAGAACAGTGATG